ATCCAATTGACTGTAGAGAAGGAAGATTGCAAATCCAATGACCCATTACTAGTTTTTTTTACTGTGTCTTTTTTAATTCTTGATTTTTTTCCTCTATGTCCTTTTTACCCTGTTTTTTTACATTTCTGATCAATTTTGTATGTTTTTTTTTTTCCTTTTATCATTTCTTTTATCTTAATCTTTGTCTCCCTATTGTTTTTCTCAGTGATAAGGTGCCTTTGGGGCAGGGTCTCAGTGGCTCATTTTTTTATGTCTCTGGGGTCACTAGGGTCTCAGTGGCTCAATCTCTTTTATGTCTCTAGGGTCACTATATGGTGATGATTCCCATAATAAAAAATGTAGGGGGCTTTTTAGTCGAACAACTCACATTGTTTTTAATAACAAAAAAAAAAACATTTTTGCCTGAATTAGGGTGACGACTCCCGTTTTTTAGTCAGACACCTCCCGTATTTTCAATAAAAAAAATTGAAAATCTTTTGTGAAATTAGGGCAATGACCCCCTTTCTTTTTCTTGGAAATTAGACAAACAACTCCCACTGACGACCCCTGGACCAAAACAGGAGTTGTCAACTAAAATTTAGGAGTTGTTTTTCCAAGCCCCTAAAAAAACAAGGCAATATTTTTCATAGCAAAACAAGCATCCAAAAGCCCAATGATGAACCACACAAATTATGGATAAAGGGGTCTGGCTTTTTGCACACCAAAGATTTCCCCCAGGCACATCAAAAGGGGGCAAAACTTGATGATTTTGGAGGATGTGGTTGCGGCTTCACTGCAAAGAATCTGGAGTGCACAAATCTATGCCTTTGTGAATCTGGGAGTGCCACTCCAGTGCATTTACTTCCCAGAGATTTCTTAGGGGTGCAAATCCTGCCAACTCCCAATTATTTGGAGTGCACAGAACTTGACTCCCCAACTTTGGATTCTTTTCTTGGACCCCCCAGGCCGAATAAATCACACAAGAAGGACCTGATGACTGTTTGTAAGCAGGTCAGTGTGGGTTCCAAAAAACAAAGAACAATTCAGCATGTCTGGCTGTTTACCAAGCCCAATCATGGCTTTCAAGAATTAAAAAATCAACCTCTTT